TTCCCCTTCACTCCAGTGGTCATCAGCTGTCCCACCCAGTCCGCCTTGCTGTCCAGGGGACAGGGTAACTAAGTCCTCTGCATTCTGGGTTGAGTAGCACCTTCTTTTGGCCTTGATTTCTGAAATCACGTGTTGCAGGGATTAGTCAGAGAGCTGCAGCTCCTGCTGATTCACAGCCACTGCCGTCAGGAGCTGAAGGCACAAAGAACCTCACCATGTGCAGCACAGCGTGAAACTTTCACCATGCTATGTGAGCATCAGAAAGATCTTAATACTCAAAGGGGACAGGTTAGGCACGGGGGAACCTGACCTTTGAATTTCCTGGATCAGGCAGCCAGCAGGGGGATGCGGCTAGGGGGAGAAAGGCAGACACTAGAGACTGGAGGAAGCAGGGACATAGGCAAGTGCCAGTGAATGAGTCCTGGGTTCTGGCCTGGTCAGAAATCTGAGACTCATTCATTCGCTTTTCAGTACATTCCTCACAATTCTGCAGAGCCTGTTCATGAAAGAGCAGATAGCACCAGTGGCGAGGTGGGCACCTGCCTGCTGTGGGCATAGCCGAGACCAGACCAACTCATTTCACACCCCCAGGTTTTAGCACTTGTGACCTGCTCCCTCTAATCGAAAGCACTGTGATATTGAGTCCGGGTGGGGAGGGGACGTCAACCTAGAAATTATACTCTCCCTCCCACATGCAGCTGGCTCGCAGGGAAGGAAGCTGAGGTTTCCTGGCTGCAGGATTCACTGACTAATTACAAGAAAGAAATTAGCAGCTCAAATATTCCAGCTTTTTCAAGGCTGCCCACGAGAGGAGAAATTCAATGTCAGGTTAATGAGGGTCCCAGATCAAAGGGCTGGAAGCAGCCAGTGGGTGGTGTCAGCATGCTGAGCACGGCACAGAAAACGCTCCCTAATGCTCCACACAGCGTCAGCAAGACGTTGCCGTGCTCAGAAAACCAACCATGAGCTGCACAAAGGCCAGGAGAGTGGGGAAGGAGGGGGCTCCACAGAGACCCCATGCCGCTGAGAGCAGCACAAAGGCCTCTGAATGATACTGTCTCTGCATGATAACAGGGGATGGAAGGGAGGCTGGGCCCCAAGAAGGCCTCAGAATTCAATCCCCATTGAAGTCAATGGCAGCTGCTGGTCTCCTGTAGGGGGACACTTGGCCCCAGCAGCAGTGACAGAATTTATCTCCTTGAAGAACATTTGAAGTCTCAGCATTTCAGGTGTCACAGCAACCCCAAGCCTGGACAACTCCTGCGAGGGAAGGATCACAAACCCAGCCAGGAAGAGACTGGGATCCATGCAAGCTCCAGGCTACACCCATCTGAGCTCAGCAGAGAATTTGCATGCATCTGCTGGAACTGACATAACAGTAACCCACCCTGAGCCTTCTGTTCTTAACCATTAGGGGGGCAGGGACAGCTCAGTGGTTTGAGCATTGGCCTGCTAAACCCAGCATTGACAGTTCAATCCTTGAGGGGGCCGTTTAGGGATCTGGGGCAAAAATCTGTCCTGGGATTGGTCCTGCTTTGAGTAGGGGGTTGGACTAGATGACCTCCTGAGGTCTCTTCCAACCCTGATATTCTATTTCATTAACTCTGCCCTGAACTACAACATGCATCTAGTCATGTGGCCTTAACCCACCAGGAACCTCATTTATTTTGGATGGAACCATTCTTGCCCTTCTCCCCGTGTGGCAGGGAGGAGGGGAAGCTTAGGTCTCAGGTGTGGGGTTAAGTAGCCAGGAAATTCCAGGTGCATGGTTCATAGGTCCCAGCACTCCGGAAGGCAAGAGGTTCCTTTGGCCTGCAGGTTTTGTGAGTGTCCATGAGCAGTCTCTCCTTAGAAGCAGATGACCAGGTCACAGCTGAGAAGTTCTAGATACCTTGTATCCCCCTCCCTGTCATGCAGCTGCTGACAGGGTCCCACAGGTGCCTATGTTCAGGGTGCTTGTGGGCCTTGGGTCAGAGCATTCACCTGGAATGTATTGGGCACCAGGACAGGATGGCAGGTCCCTGGCTGTGGCATCTACATCAGTGAAGCTTTTAGCTTGTGCAGTTTCACAAGCCCCTACAGCCAAGGAGGCGGCATTCCTAGCCCAATGATTATTCTGTTGTGCCCTGATGAGCAGGTCAGATAGCTGAGTGAGGACAGGCATTTCCTAAAGGGGTGGGATGGGAGCTCTGAGAGGTGCACCTGGGTTGCTGGGGTCACCGGACAGGCCAGCATGGGAAACAGAGGCATTCAGGGGTGTACCAGATAACGGCGCCAGGGGCTGCTGGGGGATAGTGCAAACAGATGTTCCCTCATGGCATGGGGAGCTGGGGCTCTCAGGGAAGGGGGCAGAAAGTGACCACAGAGCTGTCCCCTGGGAGTCTTTTCCCCATACCCCCATCTGCTTCCCATTACATACAGGCTCAATGACCCTGACAAAGACTGTGGTTCAGTTTGGCTCTGTGCTCATAAGAAGCTTCCAAACCCCTGGCGTACACAAAACAGGGCTGGAATCTCACTTGCAACAACAGCTCTGGGAAGATGCTGAGTGTTGCCCACGCCCTAGGAACAGCCAGTCATGAAGTAGCCCTACACCTCTGGATGGAGCCAGGGAGTACAGAGGCAGCATATAGCTGATAAGTCAGGCCAAGACAGCTACCAGACAGCATTTCTGAAACTCAGATGGTTCAGGTCTTGGCAAAGATTCAAGGGGAGATGGCTGGGATCAGGTCAAAGGGTTAGATTCTCTTTGTACTGAAACTGGTCCCTAACAACCTCATTCAGTTCCTCGTAATGCATGTAGCTCCATTACCGCTCCTTTCTGCCCTCACTTCCCTGGGATGCCAAAATACACAACCCAGAAGCAAGGGTAACAAAACCATAATGCTAGTGAGCTCAAATCCCACCTGATCCCCACCAAGCCTCCTTCACACGCTTGGTTCCCACACGCCAAAGGTCCTTGTCATAGACCGGCAGGTTCAGAGCGACAGTCTCTCTCCCTCCGCAAAAGCGCTGGAGAGAGAAGTGTATGAAAGGAGATGCTATGACCAGCTGGACCACCCCCTGTCTGCCTCATTTACAACACTGCCCCAATGACTGAGGGCAGAACTGGATACAGAATAGCTTAGCTAAACAACTCCATAAGGCCATTACCCCCAAGGTCAGAGAGGAGTATTTAGGACTGAATCCGCAATCAGTTCAGCAAGCAAAGACACTTAACGGTGAGCAAGAGACAGGGCTGGCGATCTGGAGCCGGAAGAGCTTCCTCACCCTTTGTGTCAGGCAGGCCAATGAGAAACTGCACAAATGACACCAGGAAAACAGCCCATCCGCGCTGCCACAGAGAAGTGATTCTAGTGAAGGGAGTCTGAGCCTGCCAATTGAGAGACTCGCTGAAGGGGTGAATATCTCAAAATATACGCTTGAAACCCATCGCAGGATCAAACCAAAGCCGTTAAAGAGAAGAGCCTTGTTCACACCTTGAACCATGGGGTCAGACTGAACTAGTCCCGGAATGAAGGTGCTAACTCCCAGGGATCAGTGTAACAGCAGCACCAAATCCTGCGTATGTCTATCCAAACGTCCACCCAAGGGCTGCCAGCAGCCTGAACATGCACAGACCTGAGCAGAGCCACCTGCTGGAGAGACCCTCAGGCAGCCTCCAAATGGAGACCGCACCAGAGCCAGAGATTCAGTGAGCCTCACAGCACCACTCTGCCATGCCCGTCACTCCAGATTCGCTTCCTCCAGCAGCACTTGTCAATGAGAACCAAGAATTGGAGGACAACACTGTTCTCAGATCCCAGCAGGCCCCTCCACTGAGCATTCCTGGCCATTGCTCCTCTACACCACTGGTTTACAGGCATCCCCACTGACTTCCCGCTGCCACAGGACACAGAGCGTAGACCCAGCGGTTTGCAGTCTGGGCAGTCCCCATTGGGCTAAGCTGCCATGCGCTAACTCCCCTGGTTTCTAATCCCCACCCTGGCCCCTGCCCAGAGGGAGTGATTTATCTCTAGCCAATTTGTCCAGTTCTTTCTTCATTTTGAACCCCTCCCCGACCTGCTGGCACATCAGATCTGCTCCACATCAAGACGCCGGCTAACCGAGTGAGCCATGGGGCCATCTTGCCTCATAGCGCCTCACCAAACAGTCCAGCTGGGCCCTACCTTGGAAGCGTCAGTTGAGCAGTGTCTGTACAGCCCGCGGAAGCAAGGCTCTCATTCAGCCCAGGTCAACGGACTCAGCCTAGCAGGGCGCCCAGCAGGGCTCTGAAATAGCTGAGCCGTTTGAGGCTGCGGCTCAGGCTGGAGCCTAGGAAGGGGGGTGGCCTCAGAGCCTGAGTCGCTGGACAGACACACCCAGGATTCTGCAGAGCGCTGCCTACCCAGCTATTTCTAGAGCTCGAGCCCCGGTAGCCCAAGGCTGGGAGGCTCACACCCACTGGCTGTGTAGACAGAGACTCTCTGACTGGCTGATGCCCTGAACCCTGAGATTTAACCGCTCTGCATTCTTGGCATGCAGAACTCCAGTGGTGATTCAGGCCCAGCAAGGATCCTTGTTCCTGGAAGGAGCCCAGCTCCCTTCACTAGTCCTCACAACTCACATTCTTCAACCTTGGGGTGTCCCTACAGCCCCACTCCACAGAAGGAACCTCCCACTGTGGGATGAGGCCCAGCCTTCTGCCAGCACCCCATGAGGGTCGACCCAGGACTCCACCCTGCCTCAGTATGTGCTCCTACCACGAATTCCCCGTGTGCCGTGTTTGGACTTGGGCTGATGGATTTTCCAGGAGCTCTGTGTAACGTCGAGAGCCTCATCCTGACCAGGCTGCTGCAGGATGAACGGCACCAATAGCAGGAGACTCTAATGAGCTCTTACCACCCCAGCACCGAACCCAGCACACTCCTTGGCACTCACCAGGGCCCGTTCAAGGGCCAGGCTCACTCCAAGATGCCTGTAGCCCCCCAGAACTGCACAGAGCAAGCAGTGGTACTCACTCTTAGGTCGTGCTCCTGGTCGAGGACAATCACCCTGCGATTGACGGTGCGCAGCAGCTGCTCCAGAATCATCTGCACGTGCCCCTTCACCTTCCTCTGAAAGGCAAGACACACATCATGTCCAGCGCCTGGGCAGCTGGTCTCACTCCTGGGATCACCATGCAGGAGACAAAGGGAGGTCACCTGGCAGTTACACTCCTCTGCATGGTGAGTATCAGAGTGCCCCAGGGGCGGTGTCAAACACAGGCTTTGGCACTTTAAAAGGGACCTCCCCCAGCAATGGCAGCAGTAGGACAGACAGCACAAGAGGAATCAGGCAGGTGGCCCCACTCACAGCTGGGAGGGGCTGCTCAAAGGGCAACTCAGCCGGCATTTGAGAGCTGGGACTAAAGCAAGGAATTCTCTCTCCACACCTTAGAATCATAGAATATCAGAGTTGGAAGGGACCTTAGGAGGTCATCTAGTCCAACCCCCTGCTCAAAGCAGGACCAACCCCAACTAAATCATCCCACCCAGGGCTTTGTCAAGCCTGACCTTAAAAACCTCTAAGGAAGGAGATTCCACCACCTCCCTAGGGAACCCATTCCAGTGCTTCACCACCCTCCTAGTGAAAAAGTTTTTCCTAATATCCAACCTAGACCTCCCCCACTGCAACTTGAAACCATTGCTCCTTGTTCTGTCATCTGCCACCACTGAGAACAGTCTAGATCCATCCTCTTTGGAACCCCCTTTCAGGTAGTTGAAAGCAGCTATCAAATCCCCCCTCACTCTTCTCTTCTGCAGAGTAAACAATCCCAATTCCCTCAGCCTCTCCTCATAAGTCATGTGCTCCAGCCCCCTAATCATTTTTGCTGTCCTCCGCTGGACTCTTTCCAATTTTTCCACATTCTTCTTGTAGTGTGGGGCCCAAAACTGGACATGGCACTCCAGATGAGACCTTATCAATGTTAAGAACATCAGAATGGCCGTACCGAGTCAGACCAAAGGTCCATCTAGCCCAGTATCCTGTCTATCCACAGTGGCCAATACCAGGTGCCCCAGAGGGAGTGGACCAACAGGCAATGATCAAGTGATCTCTCTCCTGCCATCCATCTCCATCCTCTGACAAACAGAGGCTAGGGACACCATTCCTTACCCATCCTGGCTAATAGCCATTAATGGACTTAACCACCATGAATTTATCCAGTTCTCTTTTAAACGCTGTTATAGTCCTAGCCTTCA